TCCTTAAGTTTCTAATATCAGCAAACCGTACTTTTGACCAGTCTACGAGATCGTAATAGCTTCACAGATCTGTGGTGTCAACAATAATCTTCAAGAACATGGTGTCATCTCGGACATAGGCGTGGTTGTTTAACTCGGATAGAGGGCAGAAGGTGGGACATCCGCTGGCGATGTTGGTTTCTCTTCTTGGTCTCTGGAAGGAGGAGCTGCTGGGATCAGGTCTGAAGGCATCGATCACGTGTTCAACGTTATCCTGATCCAATAACATGAAGGTGACCTTCTGTCTGAATGGCCAGCGGAGTAAAGCGTCATACTGACCGCGCATGACAACAAAGAAGATCGAGATGTGAGTTCCTTTGCCAATGCCGTCGCCATTTAAATAGATGCGCGCGCACATCTTGTATCCATAACGACTGGTGAAGAAACACGGACTGTAAAAAGACACCTGATTTCCAGAGAGTGCATCTTGTCTTCTCCTAGTGAAGTCGGAAATTTTCCATAATAAGATTCCGTCGTGGCTGGATACATCCTGCTGTCGGACATATTCCTCCAAATCACTTAGTGTAACATTTCGCAAAGCCAGCGAGTGACTTACGGACTCAAACTGCCTTTGTAAGCGGTTTATTGTTTCCTTGGAACTTTCCTGCCCTCTTGCTAAGGTAGCAACTTGCCGCTGAAGATCTTCATTTTGCCGATTCCCTTCAACGATGAGAACTTCTAGGTCAGCTGTTTTTGCCTCTTCGTTATCAATTCTCCGGGATAGCTCCCTCGTTGATTCTTGCCCCGATGCTGAGCCTGCAATAACTGGCTCTCCCTGTCTTGCGCCTTCCAGCTGTCGAATACGGTTTTCTTGCTGCAACAATTTTGATTTCAACTCTTTGTTCTCTTTCAACGCGTTCTCCACTTGTTTAACGCATCTCTCCAATTCTTCTTGAGATGGTAAGTTCAACTCTCTGACATTGACTCGATTGGAACCCTGCAAGGTTCTGCCAACCACAGAGAAGAGTTGCATGACTGATTGAAAGAGGAGCATCATGTGAGCAGCACTGGCACTCTCTTCATGAATCCTCCTTTCTTGCGGCTTCATGATCTAGAAAATGGATAACGAAAGAAAGGAGATGAATTAGCACAATTTATGTACAATGAGGTAATGTAATGTAAAATGTATGCAATTAATGATAATTTCTTATCTCTAATGTTTTACGTTTATTAATTTAAAACTTAAATCTATAACTAGTTTTGTCTACTTTCCCTTTGCTGTAATCCTTGCACGAGAAAAATCTCAGTACCAAAAAAATCAATAAAATGAACAAATTCCACCATGGAAAATGCTTTACACGTTTAATTATTGACTCCTTGAGTTGCATCCGAAGACTCGCTCCCCAGTTCGCTACGCTTACTCAGTACGCGATCGTTTTCTGATACTACAGACTGAAATCGTGAATAGAAGTCGTCCGCGACTTAAATACTTTCATTTTCTAATATCATTTATAAGTAGGCTGAATGTTAACTTCAAGACTTAGAAAAACTCGCAGTAAAACAGCAGGTTGTCAGAAGTAATCGTTGGACTCGAGAACAAAATTTTCTGAAAGGCCTCACATGTACCATAGGGAGGTGTGATTGGTTAATTGACAAATCAAAATAAAAGTAACAAGCAGACTTTAGTTTCAGAGCATCCAATCTGCGTCAATGGACAAGGTGCTTGCATCTCTTCGCAGTCTCCGGACATTGGATCAAGATGAGCAGACATCTGGAAGGTAAATAAAGCTATTTAGATAAAATAATTGCATAAAAAAACCGTCAAAACGCAATCTTATCCACCCTAACACAAAATTAGTAGAAATGGGTGATGAGCTCACCTGTGCACGAGGAATGTCCTTCCTGTTACACTCTGGGCAAACAATCAAGACCGAGGGACACTGAGTCTCCTGGTGTTTCTGTACAAGAAAGAAAAATGATCAGTTGCTGTATTAGCCATCAAAGTGTGCTCAATTGCGCCGGGTTGGTCAAAGCCCGACTAAGCTAACGGTTCCCAGGATTAGCGAGAATTTTGATTTTAGTTTTGTAACTTTTCGGTGGGGTTTTCTGATTGTATTGTTGGTCCTTCTGGTTTGACAAGCTAGGACCAACAGTACAGTACAACAACCCGGCCCAGTACATTGTACTCATGCCATCATTACCAGGAATCTCTATATATAAGCTAGCAATACTGTTTGACCTAAGTGACAAGCGTCTGCACATGTAGCGAGCTACGTTTGGCAGGTTTGTAAAGTACAGGTTGATGTTGTCAAACAGATCGTATCGCATGAGCAGACAATTAGCTAACGTACTTCCATTTGAAATGTTGACATCAGGTCATTGTGTGAATTGAAACTGAGAGCGCTTTATACCTTCTCCATAATTTGCACGACTTCTCGCCCAGCTCATGGAAAATACAATCTAGTTATTTACAATAGTGTATTTGCTCCTCTTAATTTTTGTTTGATTTTTTCTTTTTAGTGTTCGCTTTTATTTTACTTCTTCTTACTTCCTGGCGTTAATTTTAACTTACCTTCATTACTGCAAAAACGATAGGAGCTTGGCAGTACTGACATGTTACCATTCTGTACTGACAAGCCTGCTCAAGATGTTCCGCGAGCTTTGCCCTGGTCACCAGTTCACCGCAGTCGGAATGAACGCACGGTACTTTAACGTACTCACAGACAGCGTCATGAACCTGATAATAACGCAATACATCGAGAATCAAACTTAAGTTGCCAGTGAATCTATTGAGCTTAATAAGTTAAGAATGATTTTTTTTTTTTTTTTTTTACGATTGCATGATAAGGACCGGACTTTGGTTAAATACAGTACAAAATTAAGTAATATATAGATTTACCAAAGCCGCCTAAAATCGGAGCTCCAGGGCCAGGTTGTTCAAAGCCAGATTAAGCTAACCCAGGATAAGTGAGAGTGTTTTTTTAACTAGGCGGTGAGGTTTTCTGCTTATATTGTTTGGCCTTCTGAGTTTGAATAATCTCAAACAACACAAGACATAAGCAGTGAAAAATATTTTTTACAAGAAAAATTTATACTTTGGTTAGCTTTTAATCCTGGGTTAGCGTTAACCGCCTCAGATCCGAACAACACGGCGCTGATTACTGTAAGTTAACCTGGTTTGAGCCCCCAATCCAATCGAAAAGCCGGTACTTGGCCAGCGGTTAACTTCAACAAACACGTGACCTCCATGAGCTCAAAAATTGAGTTCACCATATGAACACGTTATACTGGTCAGCGGATACGCTGCTTTGACAGGTGTCAATTGACCATAAAATGGATGTCCAATATCAAAGATGGACGCATGTCCTACTAGCTGGAGTATGGCTGCCATGTTGTGCGACGTCGTCGTCGTCGCCGTCGTCGTCCTACTTACGTACACGCCCACGAGCAGTACCGCTAGCCATTTTTACCATGAAGAAAGCGATTCACGGGCTTCTATGAGTATGGGGCTCCACTTGGCGGTCTTCGGGCCGCCGGAGCTCCGCAAACACCGTTAACATGATGTGCGGGATTTTTCGCGAAGGAATATTTATAGGCAAGGTCACGTCGTGCATCTGTTAAAATATTACATCACAAAGTTCACCTCTCGATTCCTCAGCTCGCCTTTCCACTCACAACCTTGTTCCTGGTTAACGCAATGAAGAGTTAATGACTGGATCTCTCGCTCCACAAAACGGTCCAAGAAAACCTATGGCGTTAACAAAATGCAAATGACATTATATTATAGTCCTATCTAGATTAGCAAACACATACTTCAGTTAGTAAGAATATTTTCGAGGGTCATGAGACTTTGAGACAAAAGGCGTAGAGTAAGCGAATTTCAAAGCTTTCAGTCCTCGAAATTGCACGTAAGCTATAGCTACTTACAATTTGTTTTATACTATATACCACATGATACAAAAACTTAGGTAATGTAGCAATTTTATAGGCATTGTACATGTAACATCACGCCAGTTTTTCACACAGTTCACTCGGTAAATCGTTATTGTCATGCCTTCGGATTCTGTTTAAAACTGTTTCATCTTTCTCTTGGCAAATAATTAAGTTACAATTTTTGATAAAGAATTGATAAGTAATCAGTTATGTATTAGCTTATTTTGGTGGCTTTGTGGTTTGCAGCCTCGTTTTCAGGCTTTCTCTCTTCTTTTCCATCTTCGAGCCGGATTGCTCAGGTGATCACAAAGAGTTTGGGTGGTGAACAAATATCCGTTGGGTGCGAGGGGTAGCAGTGTCTTAATTGCCGCTAGGTTTTAAGACCCTCGGGCAAGTTGTACACCCTCTCTTTATTGTGGTTTGCATTAATCGGTCAAGAAGAATGGTACATTATTTTTTGCATCGGCCTTAATGAGAAAAGAATAGAAGACTTCCGTTCACAAAGGATATCGTCAACCGAAAAGAAGCTCAATGCTGCACTCCCGGGGCCCTCGGGTGCAACACAAACGCCTCGTTCTGTCTCTTGATTTGCGTCTTGGACGATAAAAAGACATTATTTTCACCACCGGCGGCCGATTAACCGAAAATTCCGACTTGATACACGTGCAGCAAAAACGGTGACCGATTTTCAGTAGTTTAGTATATTTACATTATGCTGGCCAGATTTATGTACGTATAACCAAAAGTTCTATTTAGACACAATCGGAACGCGTTTTGTTGGCGTAGTCAAGAATTATATGTTACATACATAATGGTAATTACAAAGCACCATTAAAAGCGAACGATGTGCTTGATGTCCAGACAACAAGAAAAACTGAGCGAAACCGGCTTTAAAATCGAACACCTCTAATTCAAATAGAAATGATGTACATATACTTTAACAAGTTCGATAAATTGTCCGAAAAGAAAAATTGCTCTCTTCATGTATTTTCTCCCTTGTATGAAGCTAAGCTTAGAATGTAGCTGGATTTTCACAGGTATACATTTACTGTCCGTTATTAGCGATTGCATTTCTTTAATTCGCTCGAATGGAGATCTCAAAAGATGTATTTAGCTGACCCTACCCAGACTAAAAAGTTTCTGAGAAGCACCGATGTCAAGGGAGGGACAAGAGAGAGAGCTTGGGAATGAGGTTGGCTAATTAGACACAGTTTGAAGAGAAGGGCACGAGACGTCAACGAACTGACCTGTTCTCGTCTAATAGCTAAATCATCGATGACGCATTTTCCGTCTCCCTGACTAAGGAAGAAAAAAAGACAAAGAAAATTATTAGAAATCGAGAAGGGATCGATGATGTAATTAGAAGCTATCACGTTTAATTATTACAAGCCACTGATATTTCTTTTTAAAAGCCTACGTACTACCTACTTATCTACCAAGAGTGAGGTCTTCTACGAGAAAATCTCAAACCGAGACCCTGTCGTATTAAGCGAGCGATTGCGAGGTCAATACGGCAAGGCCGAGGCTTGAGATTTTCCCGTAAAGACCGAACGTTCGAGGTTTATAGGTTTGTTTTTCATAGCTTTTTGTCTTGCTTTTGCTAGCCCGTAATCGACCCGTAGGCATTATGGGAGAATATTGCCCTAGGATTAGCCAATCAGAGCGGACGTTATATTGGCTACAAACACAAGCCATATAATAGCACTCAATATTACACTACACAGACAATAATTTATCAGAGAGCGAGACTGAATTGCAGTTTTCTTCTTTTTTTTTTTTGTTTTAAAACACAGCTAAGTGTGTTTCTTTAACTAACAACCCCCTACGTGCCCTTCCTCGTTTAGGTCCTTATACACGGAGGTAATATTGTTCATCACAAACAACTCAATTGCTGCGCAGCGGAGCGAAGCAGCATACTGATCTGGGTGTGCCCGGCAGCAGTATACATGTAGCGTTGTTGCTCTTGCTGCGTGTTTACAATCTGTCTCGTTTTCATTTCTCATCAGACACGAAAACGAGATTCCACGATGTTGCACCATCACAAGTTGCGATGTAGTCAGTTTCTCTTCGAATATGCTTTTACCACAAAAGGGACGGACGTACTGCTGTGAAAAATTATTTATCTAAACGTAAGACAACAGGGGCGGATCCATGCCAGGATTTTTCTTAGGGGGTGCATCGCTAAGGAATGGTGCAACATAGTTTTCTTTTTTTGCAGAATCTGTTATATGTGAAAGCCGCATGTCTTCTCAAGGGGAGGGGTGCGCACCCCTTTGCACACTCCCCCTGGATCTGCCCCTGACAAATTCTGTAGAAAAGGGCTTCGAGTGCTGAGTACTGAGCCGATTCGAAAAACTCGACGAATTCTCGAATGATCAAACGCTCCACAGGATTTTTTTTAAAGAAAGGAAACGGTTAGTTAAACTCCGGTTCAAAATAAGAATAGTATAAACAAAAACAAAAACAAAATAAGGCGAATAAATAAAAAAAAAATTGTTGTGCCCTTTGGGACTTGAAACCGCAGCATTCACTTTCTGTTACAAAAAAATTAAATGTATTAGCAAGTAAAGTTACCTTAGCATGGTATCCACGCATGTTTTGCAGTATCTGTGTCCACAAGCTATGGTCTGTACAGCTTCTCTAAGAAGTCCATCGCATTTAGGGCACATGTTCTTTTTGTCGATCCTTGATCGATCAACCGAAGCCAAATTGTATCCAGGCATGGCTCAACTGCGGAGACGACATAAATGAAACAAGTGAAAAGCTTTTAAGCCAACTCATCATACATTCGAACCTCCGGTTGCAACCACCTCTCCTTAGCGGCCAGTTTTCCAAAATACCAAAAGTTTCCAAGTCAAATAATTATATTTGGAACCTCTTGTAAGCGACCACCTCTCGTAGGCGACCGCGACCACTTTTAGAGCTAAAAGTTTGAAATTTTCTTTAAGCGACCACTTGACAGACAATGGAGCAGAAATTGGATAATAAGGTGTTTTAACATTATCGCATTAATTCCTAGATAGTACAAGATACAGAAATTTGTGAATGGAAAGTACCAGATTTTTTCTCGAAATTGTCTTTTTACATGAAGAAAATATTTAAAACATAGGGTAAGTCCTTGCAGTTACCATATCCTAATTAGGCAAGTTTGACCCAATATGGTCTAAACTCTCATAAGCGACCAGGCTTGACATTTTGGGTGGTCGCTTACGGGACGGCTCGACTGTACTTGAAACGGACATCTTTCATATAATACATATGACGAGGGTGGTCAAAAAGATTTTTGAGCAGTTTGTATGTTGCGTGACACCGTATAAATTTTACAACAATTATTAATTAGCAAATAATCATTGAGCTGCTTGGATTGTTACCACTGATAGAGTTATGAGTTCTAACAAAAAAAAACTGAATGTGTTATGTACATATACACAGTTCTTCATAGGCAAATAAGTGTTAGTAATCAACTTAATTTGTTAATCTGATAATGAGACCACATCCACATTTTATTTTAGGCCTCTAGCCTTTAAAATCGAGGGCTATATATTCTGATATCGATGTTTCTATCCTTAGGACTTGAGCTATGACAAACATTTTCATTCCTTCATTGCACTAACCAAATCCTTGAATCAGAAGATCGAAATTACTCACACGAGAGCAAGCCCAAAACTGACCAAATTGGCGATGTGCTGACTGAGATTTTAGAACTGCAAACCATGCGCTTTGGCAGATGACTTGATGATCAGGCAAATGTCGCCCCTCTCGCAAATACACTGGTCAGAGAAATTACCAACCAAAGTATTTTACAACCCACCGACTTACCGAGCGCGTGAATTATTTCTTCCCCAACCAACTGCTATAACTCATTCTATATAGCTACGCTATCACAACGAGTCAGCAGTAAATTAAAAATACACTTTAAGTAAAGTTCGCTTACTCAGCAAATCATCGCATGATTCAAAAATGATGAAATAATTGATTACGGAACAAAATTCACCAAACAGCTAAGGACCGGATTTCACCACAGGGAGCCCAAGCCGGCACGTTCTCTTATTAATCATGATACAGTCGACTCCGATAACTCGAACCCTCGCTAACTCGAACCAAAATCGATTTCCCCTAGATTTCCGTCATACATTTACTGTAATTTACCCTTGGTAACTCGAACCCTCGATAACTCGAACCTCCCGCTAACTGGAAGCAATTTTCGTTTCCCTTCAGGTCATTGTCTACATAATTTTACCATCGATAACTCGAACCATGTATGTCAATGCGTGACAAGTCAAAACAAACAGTGTACTGTAGTCCAAAACATTAGATTTATTTTGAAGCAGCCGTGTGAAAAAAGTCGTACAGTTTATTGTTCCTGGACTTTTCCCTGCTGCTTTCCTCTGTTATATTTTTCACATTTACGTTTTCTTCCGATTTATACAGTAATTTAGAGATGTGTTGTTTTAATTTCACTAGACTTCTCTATATATCCTGTGATTAAATGTGATTAAAATGTACACTGCATGAATAGAAAAACACCGTTTTTTCCTTATTTCCGGTCATTTATTCTCAATTCCCGATAACTTGAACTCCCGATAACTCGAACCTTTTTCAATTACCCTTGAAGGTTCGAATTATCGGGAGTCGACTGTACAAAAATAACCGTGACCTTTGCCGTTGGCGGAACGATATTTTTGCTAAAGGTTTGCCTCCCACGCAGACGCTCTTTGGGCTCGTCACGTCTTCCGTGGGGGAGGAACGTGTGACGAGCCCAAAGAGCTTCTGCGTGGGAGGCTAGGTTTGTATGGTCGGACCGAATTCATTTCAAAAAATGAAATCAACCAGAGATGTAATCGACCAAAAATAACAAAACAAACAGACAGCAACAAGTAAGTCAATGCTATTCACAAAACATTCGAATCCACAACAAAATATCGCTCATGGGGATAGGCCATAGTCTGCGAGCAGGCTTACCCCGCCGGATCTCTTCGCTCGCTAACTCGCGTGATCCAAAAGAGAATCTGCTCGAGGGTTACAAAGGTCATGGTCGAGTTACCAGAACGTGAATTAGGGTAGCCTGTGATTTCACTTGAATGTAGAAAGTATTTTGCACCACTTTTTTTTTTTTTTTAACCAAAGGTGAAACTGCAGCAATAAAAAGCGAGTTGCAAAGTCTTTCTTCTCCTTAAAATATATAATTATAAAAGTAATGATAATGATAATGATAATGATAATGATAATGATAATGATAGTGATAGTGATAGTGACAGTGACAGTGATAGTGACAGTGATAGTGATAGTGATAGTGATAATAATAATAATAATAATAATAATAATAATAATAATAATTTAACTATAAAACACTGCGATAATATAGAAAAAACTGCTCAGCAATCGGCTAACTTAGTCAAAAGACAAATGCAAAATCTGAGCGCCAACACTGGTGTCCACATTAAACCTGTCTCCCACAGCGAGAAGATTGGCCAAGTTCTCGCTCCGAAAGAGAAAATGCCCCCATTGTTAGCAATCAATGCGTAGTTTACAAATTTCAATGTAATCTGTGCGACGCAGATTATGTCGGGTGTACACAACCCGACATCTACACAAACGCATCAGCGCGCGAACACAAATACTCGGCAATCGCCAGGCACAATTAGGAGCATGGGCTAACGAAGTCTGCTTTAGAGGA